AGCAAACTTCTTATATGCAAACTATTGGTTGTCTCTATGGATCCCATTGAAAACTTATCTGACATTCTCAACATTGTGCCTATCAACAATCACTACCAACATCTTGTGAGGAAATTCATCTACCCATACTCACCCCGACATATGTCATGTAGTTGGTATAGTGAGTCAATTAATGCATAACTCATATGAGCACCATCTCCAATCTATCCACCTGATTCTTCACTATTTAAAAAGTACGTCGGGCTCAAGTTTACTTTTCTCTTGTCACACCTCTCTATCCATTGTTGGTTATAAATATGTTGATTGGGTCGAGTCAGTTGATGACCGATGTTCTACCTCGGGATATTGCTCATTTGTATGGAGAAATCTGATCACATGGAAAAGCAAAAAATAATCTATGGATGCCCGGAGCAATGCTGAAACTGAATTTTGGTTTATGCCCTTAAGGAGCAGTGAAGCCTTCTGGCTACGCATTATGTTCCGTGAACTTCGTATGCTAACATTCATCCCACTGCAGTTATTCTATAATAATAAAGTCGTCATTAACATTGCGCACAATCCAATCCAGCATGATCGTACCAAACATGTGGAGATTGATAGACACAAAATTAAGAAAATGATTGAGTCCAGCAAAATTTTTTTTTTCCTTTCTTATGCCTATTGTATTTGGGTATAAATACCCCTCCTTTCAATAAAATCAAGGTACTTTATTCCAATTCTCAACAATATATATATATATATATATATTATCTTATATTATACAATTTAAATTCACCATTTAAAGCTAAGAGCAGTCGACCCATCTACTATCCATAATAGTTTGTCGAGAATGAAAAATTTAAGATTAGTCTAAGCATAAGAAGAAATAATATAATATCAAATGTACCTCTATAATCATTCCTAAAGATCTCACAACAACAACAATAACAAAACCTTAATCCCATTATGTGGGGTCGGCTACATTCATAAAGATCAAATGAAAGCAAAATTGTGGTATGTGCTTTCTAACCAAATGGTTTTACTATCAAATGGCAACATAAATAGGAACAAATCTGGTTGGCGCCCTTTGTGTTGATAGTTTACAACAAAATGGCACCATAAGATTATAATCATAACCAGAGCCCGCGGGTTCTTCAATTGCATAAATCTCGTAATTACTGAATCATGGGGTGCACTTGATATGGTATGAAACAATGTATAAATTAAGATTGAATTAAAAGTATCCCCCTAAACAAGCATTTATCTCAGATCTATAAGATTCTATTGGATGATATAATTCATGGTTGCTAACAAAAATACTTGGGTTAGAATAAGCAAGGTGCATCAGCATACATAGTAGACTAGAGCCAATGATAATTGCAAACGATGAAACCATAGACTTTGATTAGATTCGCCATCATGTCCCCACCATCCACTTAAGGCTAATGGTGCTAATTTTTTATGTTGTTATAAACTAAATCACTACTAATATATCCTAAATACCTAGCATCAGACTAACTTTAATTGAAAATTTTCTCTTGAGACTTGTCGTAATTAACCATAGAAACTTTCATCTATATGAAACCTAGAACCATATCAAGAAGTCCTTAAAAATAGGATGAAAACTCAGGAATATATATATATATAT